CTTACGATTCATTTGTTTCTGCTCACTGGGAACTTTGCAAGGGTTTCCCATGTTGGTTGTCCTGCAACCTCGGAGGGCTATCAGAATGAACTTTCTAAGATGCGAATTAGATCACGATGCCCCCTGCTTCAGGCTTTTGGGGGTTCTCCCCTGAGAGAATAAAGCTCACGGAATTGAGGCAAACTCTTGTGGCCCATCACACCACCAACTGCTCCAGCTTTGCCTAATGCCCAGGGCACTGACACGCTGGCCCCAGCTGTCGCTCCGCAAACACACCTCCTCTCCGTACCTCCAATTCTCTATTCACGCTGTTCCCTGCGCTTAGAAAGCCCCTTTCCTTCAACTGCTAACGATCCTCGCCATCTGTCTTCATTGGCTAAACCGTCAATCCCCTCTGACCAGCTTCCCTGAATCCTGTCTTCCCCCACCAGTGCTCTCAGGTAGAGGCATGCCTCCTTCACATCCCAGCTATGCCCCGAAGCCAGCTCCCCCGGGAAAGGGGTGGTGCATGGCGAGTCCGTGTTTCCTTCTCCCCAGCACAATGCCTGGCATGGAACATTAAATGACTGTGAAACAGCAGTGTGAGACAGACTCTCCCAGCTCAGTCTTGAAGAATGTGTTCATTATGTGGTGACGGTTCATTGTGGTGATGGTTTCACGGCTATTTCAAAACTTGTCCAGTTGCACACGTGACATATTTCCAGTTTATTGTATGTCAGTTATACCTCAACAAAGTTATTTTTGTAAGTGGGGGGCAGACTCTCACACAGGGTCCTCTCAGACCTTCAGGGAGGCATTCTCTGATCACAGCCCTAAGACAGGGCAGGAACATGTACGTGTTATTCTGCTGTTCTTCACGCCAAAGTTTCTCTGGGGTCAGCACTGGGGGTGGGGGGCGGGGGAGACCAACTGGAGATGGGACACTGGCTGTCAACAGCAGGTCTCAGCTGTCCGTTGGAGTCACCTGAGGAGATTGAAAACTCACTGATGCCTGGGGCCCTTCCCAGAGCACTTCACTGGTCTAGGGCAGCCTATCAGGATCGTTAAGGCCCCCAGGTGACTCGAATGTGCGGCAGATTTTGAGAACCACTGTTTTAGATCAGTGAGTGGTTTGGCCAGAACCCAGATCGCATCATTTCCAATTCCTTCCCGGGAGTCCGTTGTGCCCAAGAA